AGGCCACATCTCCGTCCTGGCACATCGTCAGGGACGCGCAGGTCTTCTGTGTGCTCTGGGATGTCCACCTCCACTTCGCAGCCCATGAAGAGAGAGGCCACTGCAGACTGGCTCCTGGAATCTTCCCTTGGAAGTCACACGTCACGTTTACTCACATTGTGTTTCCTAGAGTTATTCTTGGCTGTCTTGTAGTAATGACACTCATGGTCGGTAAGGACTCTGAAACAAAAGAATGCACGAATTAGTGCAGTTCAATACAAACAGGTCATTTGCTGTCTGAAATGTAAGCACTGTAAAGATAGTTCAGAAAGAAAATAAACAAGAAGTTTTGGTAATAGAGAGACTTCAGTTAAAATTTTTCAGAACATCGAATCTGTTTGTAGTATGCACATAGTTCATTTTTATAGGAAAAAGTAAAATATTCTAACAGTAGTGGTACAATGGGTGGATGACAGGAAGGAGTAGACAAAGCCTTCAGTTTTGAGTGTATATTGCTTGAAAAAAATCTTTTCAGCAGCACACACATATTTCTTGTGTGAGTTTAAAACAGGAATGAAATGTATGAGATAGTGAGGGAGAAACTCTTTTTCCTTCCCTCATTATAATGCTTGATGCAGCTTGAAAGCACCTTTCCCTGCACCCTCCACCTTGTCACCTTCTCTGTCTCAGGCATGGTCAGCCAAAATGGTGGCCACACTCCTCTGTCCTGTTTCCTGTAGCATTGGAGCCTCACTCCCAATTTCTATGTCCTTGGCTTGGTCTCTCTCTGTCTTTCCTTCGCCCTCTCCTTCCTTACCGGGTATTCATTTCCCAAATTACAAATTTCCCAACCTTGCCTTAGCCTTTCCTGTCCCCTCTTTTATTTAGTGAACCAGAAAACATAGTCGTGGCACACTGGCAGCCATAACTTCACCCTGCTGAGCGTATCTGTCATGCTCACATTTCATTGGATAAGGCAAGTCACATGGCTACCCCTAATGTTATCACTGGTCATATGGCACATACTTCAAAAAAAAAAAAAATTGAGCTAGTGAGAAAGACAAAGAACTGTATTAATCATTTGTGCATTTTCACTCCAGACACTGAGGCCAAATATTTGTCTTTAAATTGTGTTATTCAGAGCAATATGTCCTGTCCAGTACCTACCTCTTGATATTTATTTTCCTTATTTTAATTCACTGGTTATCAAAATGTTACATAGAGTAATAATAGTGAGTGTCCTGATTGACTCCTGATTTTAACAAAAGTGCTAATTATGAAGGTTACTATTTAAATGCAAGTTTTACTCTGTTTTTGATAAATAACCTATGTCAAATTACAGCAGTTTCATTGTATTTTTAGTATTTATTAAGTTCCTTGGTCCTAAATAATGTTTTAGTCCTACATAAATTCTTTATTAAGTATTTTTGTCTTAAACAATTCATGTAAAAATTTTCCTTTAATATATTTTGTAGTGAATTATATTAATATATTGTTTAAGTCAATTTTGCAATCTAGAACAAACCCAACTTGACCAGGAGACATAATGTTCTTACATATTTTTGGGTTCAGTTTGCTTACATTACATTTAATGCTTTTTTTTTTTAGCATTTCTATACGTGAGCACAATTGGCCTATTTTTTTCTTGGCTTCTCCTAAATACATACGCATAATATATAAATATATAATTAGTATATAAAGATTATTGTAGTCTCAAAAAGTGGGAAATAATCTCTCTTGTGTCATTGCCAGAAGTGTTTTTAGAAAACTGTGGTTATCTTATCCCAGAATGTATGCTCCAACTGTCTGGACCCATGGTTTTCCCTATGGAAAGAAATATAAATTTAACTATAGACTATTTAATAATAGAACTATTCATACTCAGACTTTCTTCTTTCTTTCCTCTCTTTCTCCCTTCTCTGTCTCTTTCTTTCTTTCTTTCTTTCTTTCTTTCTTTCTTTCTTTCTTTCTTTCTATCTTTCTTTCTTTCTTTCCTTTTTTTAACACAGGGTCTTTCTACATAGTCCAAGCTGACAGTGAACTCACTATGTGGCCCAGGCTGGCCTTGAACTCCTGGTGACACTCCTGCCCTCAGCCTTTTGAATGCTAGGATTACAGGCATGTGCCACCACACCTGGCTAGTAGTTCTTTTGAATTTTTTTCTTATTGAGGTATTATTTGTGTGAAGTACTCCATCCTAAGTATATAACTCCTTGAGATTCTCAGCTGTGTGTGCAGTCCCCACCCACATCAGGATAGAGAAGAGTCCCAGGGTTCCAGTGGGTTTCTAGGGCCCATCACGTTTGAACCTCCATCATGAGCAGCATGCACCATTCTGACATCTGTCACTGGAAGTTCCCTTACTCTGTGTTTGAGCTCCCTGTGAAGAGGCACAGAGCATGTTTGTGAACGTGTTTTTGGCATGTCTAGTTCCCTGTGCTGGCCACTGTCTGTGATGTCATCCATGTTATTGTTTACAGCAGTTGTTCACTTTCCTTTCATTGAGTTACGGAATGCCATGGTGTGAATGTGCCACCATCTACTTATGCATTCTACCATGGACAGATGTTTGGCTTGTCTCCAATGCTTTCTTCTGAGTCATCTTAGTTCTGAGATGATTTTAGGAACTGGTCCAATTTGTCTTGGAATATAAGTTAATTGTCCTTAAATTATCTACAATATTTTCTTCTCTTTGTAATCATACTGCATCTGTATTTTATGTCCCTATTTTTATACCTAATATTACTTATTATATAGCTACTGGCTTTGTTTTTCTTGATTAGGTGTACCAGAAGTTAGTTGCTTTCAGCAGTAAATCCATGTTTTCCCCAGAACCTAAGGATGGAGGATATGCTTTGAGTTTGTCCATTAACAGAACGCTAGTGCAATCTCTAGCATTTGAGAACTCAAGCTGTTCACAGTCTTGCTGCAGTAAGCTTTTCCAGAATAGTGAAGGGAGTTTGCTTATCAATGTCTAACTTAAGCACAATTTGCTTTCCTTATCAAAAAGAATTCTCACTATTACGGTGTAATGTTTATCCTTTGAGAGAATGACCATCTGAGCAACTCTACAAAATGGTCAAAGATTCTCTCTAGTCCTGTTTTGTGTGTCCCTTTGCTCTGTGAGTTCTCTGGTCCTTCTTTGAGAAGAAGCGTCTACTTTGCAGCCTGGGAATCTGGGCTGGGCCACATGCCTGGTGTGAGCAGTGAAGCATTGAGAACAGACAGGATGCAAGCAGAGGCGTGGAAGGCATGTGCACACTGAGGCCTCCCATCCTACATTTCGGGAGTTTTTCTGCACTATCAGAATGAGCCTAGGGTAGACTCTTGTAGCTGTCAATCCTCTGACATGAAACCATCTGCTAGTTGGTGAGGCCAAGTAAGACCATCCAACTCTACCTGGCTGCTCTAGGCCAGAAGTGCTTCTGTGAATACACTGAACAGTGAGTGGAAAAGAATAGCACAAGGCCACATAGTTTAACAGAATTTTCCATATGTACAGTACTTTCACATCTTCCTTTCTTCTTCTTTGTTGAACTTACTTCTTAGGCACTTGGAGAGGTGGCAGGACTCCAGTGTGTATGAGGAGTGACAGAACAGACCGTAGAAGCTGAGCGACTTTTGTGGATTACAGGCAGCGTTTCTTACCGGGGAACAGAGTTGGTTGTGGAACAGTACAATCTTTCCTCAGTAGTAGGAATCCATACTGAGCTTAAAGCAGGGGCCGTTATGTGGTGGGAGAATTCTTATACTGAAATGCTGACCAAAATGATGGCATGAAGTACCACAGTTAAAAATGAAGGCAAGGCCTTAGACTCCCAGGGTATGAAAACAAGGCAACTATTGAAGCAATTGCTTGAAAATGGAGGCCAGTTGGATTTTTAGAGCAGGACAGAATAATCCACTTATTCTGGTAACCATGTTCCATCTGTCAATTTTTAAACATCTTTTCCAAAATTCCTAAAGGTCTTTGTGTGTTATCTTCCTTTCTACTAATTTCTTTTTGTGTTGCCTGGGAATGGAACCCAGGAACTTATGCATGTTACACAAGCACCATACCGTGAACAACAACCTAAGCCCCTAAACTTCTTTTTAAAATTTCGTTTTTTATTTTTTATCAGTAAATGTTTGCAGTAAGTGTGCAGCTTCCTTGTGTTTAATGTTTTTAAAAAATGCCCTTGCAACAGAACAGTGATCAACAAGGGAACAGGATGTTTGGTAAAAGGTGACAAAGTCTAAAAGTAGAATATTCTCATAGGAGAAACATTAAAGGAAGATATGTGTGTCTGTTACTGGCTGCCTTATTAACAAGAATCACTATAGACGCAGCTCTCTTATTTCTAAACATTTCTAGAAACATAAAAATTTATAGAGAGTGAACGCATAATCAACTAATTATTTCCTGGACAAGGTTTTCACTTTTAAGACCAATGGGAGGCTAGAAATATTGGTTGCATTAGAATATTTCCACATAGGGTGAGACAGCTGGGGGCAGAGAAATGAGACTTTGGATGACATGAAAGTGCCTGGAATCCACAGCAAACCTGCAGTCCTACAAACCCTGTACCTGTATGCAATTAGGCAGCCCAAATGTCAGCAATCCTTTTGCTTCTGTAGTTTAATGAAAATACTTGTTTTGCACATTCCGCATTTAGAGATAGTGTCAGAGGCTCCTCATAACCTAGAAAAGGACGTGTATTTAGGAGAGGGTCTTCTGGGTAAAAGGTATGGGGACAGCTGCATAGGTCAAGAGACCCTTGTGTGAGGTCAGCGCCGAATAACTTAGCGCATCCTTAGAACCTTTGAAATCTCGGTTTGAATCATCCCGCCCTCAAAGAAAGCCATGGAAATCAGTCACTGTGTTGTTGCTGCATAGTGGAGGCAGACCACTTTAATGAAGGAACTGAAGGGCTGAAGTGCAGCGAAGAGGAGGGAGGACCTCAGGAGGGAGGTGTGCATGCTGCTGCTTTAAAATTATGCATGCAGGGCCCATCCGGCCCCTCCCACTGCTTCAGGTAGGAGCTGCAAGCCGGGGGAACTCAGTTCCTGGCACCGCAGAGCTGACAGCGCTGAGTTTCAGGTAAGTAAGTGACTGCTGGGCAGAACACTTTTCCGGGCACCCAGTCACCCTCCCAGCATTCCCTTGCAGGGGTCTGTTTGCTGAGTACCTGGGGGCTAGAGGAGCATTGCCAGGGAATGGAGGGCAGAGGCCTTGCTAAGAGCCACTTGGCACTCTGAGGGGACAGGCTGAAATGTGATAGAAAAACTGCACCAGCTTATTCAGCAGTACAATCTCTTCCTCAGTAGTAGGAATCCACACTGAGCCTACAACTCTGCAGTCCTATGAGGAAACACTAACACGAATGTCTGCTCAATATTAAGGCCTAGGACAGACAGATGGTGTTGAGTTTCTAATCAGCTTTAGCGTGAGCTTAAAGTTGCTGCCCAGGCTGGGGTGAGGGGAGAGGCCCAGAGCGCTCTGCTGCTTTATGCTGGGCGTTTGCAAGTTAGTTCTGGGTTGCAGCGTAGAGAGCCCCTTTAAAGAAACTGTGATTCTTTACCTTGTTCAGTAGGGTGCATAGGCTACTATCCTGGGGCGCAGCAACAACATACAGTTGCTGCAAGGTGAAACATATTATTAATCATTACATACAAAGTGAGGAAGAAATTGGTGGCCCTGTGGACTTTTGGAGTGCTTAATCTGTCCAATACAACAAAAATATTTATCAGAGCAATGAGTATTTTATTCTAAGCAACGGACTTCAAAATATTTTTTGAGAAGTTCAGTGTTGTCCCTCATGCTTAGAATGAACTTGAGTTTTAGACTCCACAGTTTCTTTCCCCTTGACCTGCTGTGTTTCTGATTCCCAGGCACGGTCCCAGGCTCTTGTGGTTACCACGGCTGAGAAGGTCTTCACTGCTGCCTTGGTGTGAAAACGCGTCTGCACTTTCCCCAGGATGGGGTCTCATCATGGAGCTTGAAGGAGCTTGCTTCTTAGTGTCGCTGGCAAGCAGCGTGGGCCCCATTATTTATTTAGGAAGGCTTTATAGGGAGGAGAATGCTTTTTTGTAAACATGGACTACCTGGCTTTTGCACTGGGCTTCGGCTTCTTGTTTCGGGTCATTGAAACATTGATCTTTGCCTATGTTGCTTCGATATCGCTGGCTGCCTGCCAAGGCCTCTTCCCTAGGCTGGAGAACGTGGGTGCTTTCAAGGATGTTTCCATTGTGCCAGCCCAAGCAGTGTGTGGCCTCCCAGACCCAAGCACGTTTTGTGACAGCTCGGTGGCTGCTGAAAGCATCCGGTTCTGTGCCCAGCGGCTCTGCGTTCAGGATTGCCCCTACCGGTCTTCCTCTCCTCGCTATGCAGACCTTTTCTCTGCGGCACACCGCAGCTGCATCGCAGTGGACAAGAGTGATCTGCGTCCTCACTCCCCTAGCAATTCCACAAGCTTTGTTTTTGGAAAACGTAAGAACTGCTCCCTTTCTCCTCCTTCTCCGAGGCTAGCGGAGGCGTTTACCCTGGCTGTGTGGGTGAAACCTGAGCAAGAAGGTGAAATGTAAGTAGCAGTCTGCGTTCCAGTTTTCCCAGAACCCTGCAAAATAAGGAGTAGTGGAGGCTATTGCAAGCTGAAGTTCAAACTGGAAATGAAGGCTTAGAGTTGGGAACTCGTGCCATTGAAGACCAGCTACCTTGTTAATCTCCCCTGCTCCAAGTTTACAGTCTGAGTAGTTTTCTTTTTTTTCCAAAATATTTTCTCTTTTCTATAGATGAAGTAGAGCATGAAAAAAGAATGTGTTAAAATAGTTTCATTGCAGGCTGGCATGTTCACACCCAAATCAACCTCCGCCTTTGGTCTTCGCCTCTGGACACTGAACAGCTCAGTGTGAGAAGGAATGGGCACTCATCACACAGATGATAGATATTTTCAAAAGCTTATTCTAGGCTTATTACACAAAGTATCCCTACTAGGAAACAAAATTTTATTTAGCAGATAGCTCTTGAGGGCTTAAAATTATGTTTTATTCATCCTTATTTTCCCAAAAAGAGACATGTCTTTCACTCATGGAAGATGTTCAATAATAGGAGTTGGAAATACGGAGAACACCCCGTCTCTGAAAGGATATAGCCTTTGGCTTTTACTTTGTGGTGTTTTCTTCTCCTAATTGGTTAAGAAATATATAGATGAGCTAGGGAAATTCTCAAAAGCTTTCATACACTTGATACCAGCAGAAATGTCTTCAAAATGAGTTTAGGGTGAGGCTTTCTCATCATGATTATTATAGTTTATTTAATCACCTATTTTTTATTCTGCAGTCTTCTCTCAAACTGATATCTAATGTATTTCCTCTAAGTAATTTAGAGCTGATCTAGAAATTTTAATAAACAGGATAGTTCTGAAGTTTTTAAAAATATTTATTTTAATCTTCCTGTAGGGCTTGTGGCTCTTTTTCGGGTGACATTTCCAGTGTGTGAAAATGTTGGCCAAATATCAAAAACTATGAAACAAACCAGCAAATTCTGTCATTCCATGAACATCTTTAGTGTTTAGTTTCAATTTTCAAATGAAAGTTTGCATACTTTCATTTTGTTTTAAATCTAGAGAGAAAATAATCACAAATCATTGTTTTTATTTTTCAGCTCCATTAAATGACAAACTTGTTTCTTACTATTGGAAATTTCAGTAAATTCAAGCTACTCTGTGAAACTAGCACCCAAAGAGTCTTAACACATTGTCTTCTGACAAATAGGGCTAGAATAAAATATTTTCCCTAAACTTACAGAAAAATCTCAGTACCGAATTAATCTTCTGTTGGCATTGTTTTGTATAAACAATGACAGAGGAGTATTTATAGAAGTGGTAGCACATAGTTGATGGTTTTGAGAGTTCCTTGCTTGTATCAAGGTCGTTTTCATTCTCAAAACTAAAATACCTATGGGAATTGAGGGAATTTCGGGGTGTTTGCGCTAGATAAGTAAAACAAACAAAACAAGGATTATCCAATTATTGTTTATTCAGGAGCAGAATAAATCCAGTTCCTAAATATTTTGCTACCTGCCTTCCTCTCACATTTATTATCTACCAAAGCTAGTATGTTTACAAGCAAACAAAATAGCAAGGAAGATAATCAATAACATATTAAGAAATGTGTTTTCAGTAAGCTTGGGGAAATAAGTCTGCATTTGGTAAATACATTCTTGAGTAATGATCGAATTCTCACTAGGAGATTTAAACTCAAGAAAAATGAACACAGGCAAACTCTCCTTAGATTGTTTAAGACCTGGAGGCAGAGGATAAAGAGAAACTCTTTCATTCCACTAAATTAGAAATACCCAAATCTGATGGGTTAAAAAAGAATTGGCAGCAGGATTTATATAAAACCTTTATGGTCACTAAAATTATTTGCTAAATTAAAAATATTCTTCTCTCCATATCCTTAGTACCAAATCCATGTGCAAAATATGCTATGTTAGCTCAGTAGAAAAGTGGTTGCTGGTGCCCTCCAATCTTATTCTGACCTCCCAACTCTGGGGAAAAATAGATACAAGGGAGAAGAAATGATTGGTAAAACATGTACCCTTCCAGGAAAACTTTCAGCATCTCTTTAGCAATATTTCTTGTTTGGGCCAAATTTACCTTCATCTTTTGGATGCTGCTTAACTGAATCTGGTCACTTTTGATGGTCACCTGTTTAGCCAGGATCCAAAAAGTACGCCACTGTGGTAGCTACAAAAGTGGCTTCTGAAACGGATTTTGATCATTGATCTAACACAAGACCTAAATATCTTCTAAAACAAAAATCTAGTTTTTCAAAATGCTGCATTCTTGCAAGATGGAATGACCTTTCAACCAAGACTGGGAATATTGCATCAGCCCTTCAGTCGGGCTCTGGTCATGGAGAGGGATCCAGTCATCTTTCAGCTGGTCTGGGCAAAGTGGAGACTGTAGCTGTCCATTCTCTGTATCGTCGTGGGAATTCAATAGAGCAATTCTGACTTCAGGGCTAACAATTTAGCGCCTTCCATGGACACTAAATTCTCTTTACATTAAAAAAAGAAAGATGTGCACTGGTGACTCAATACCCAAGTGGGAGGTAGTGTTGCACCGCTTCCTATAAAAGAAATGGCACAGGAAGTAATGAGCCAACCGGCTAAACGTTAGTTTTGCGGAATGATTCAACCACTGTAGTTTCTATCATGAATCTCCAATGAAGGGTATTGAGGCTCTGGGGAATATGTTGTAAATAAAAAATCTATTCTTCATTGAAATAAAATGGCTCCTTCATTGGAAGAAAGCTTGCTTTGGGTATAACATCACCCAGGGACTCCCTCAAAGTGCACTATTTTGAGTGAAGTTTGGGGTTCACATTAGCACCATTGTTCCTGCAATGCTGTTACCTGTGTACTTGCTTGGAAGCTGACCTTTCCTCTCTTTTCTGCTTGCCTCCTTAGGTGTATCATAGAAAAGACGGTGGATGGGCAGACTGTGTTTAAACTTACAATATCTGAGAAAGAGACCATGTTTTATTATCGTACAGTAAATGGTTTGCAGCCTCCAATAAAAGTAATGACACTGGGGAGAATTCTTGTGAAGAAATGGATTCATCTTAGTGTTCAGGTGAGTAAAATAAAAAATATTTAACATTTGGTTAAACATGAGAATCTATCTTCCTTTCTCTCCTTTAAATGGCATCTATCCACAGAATCTGAAGCTGTATCCTGTAGATTTCAGGGCTGTGTAAAAAATAAGTAAGAAAAATATTTCAATGACCTAATGATATATCTCTTGGTCCACTAGCAGTTGCCACCCTCCAAAATTTCTGTAAAACCTCCCCCAGAAGCTGAAGGACAAAGCTATTTGTAGAAACAACATTCATTTATTTTATTGTATTTGTTTGGTGTGTTTTATTTTTGTTTAAAATGTGTAAAACCTCTTTTGGGGTCTAGTGATAATTCTCCTGGTCACAGCAGTCTGGAAACCATCGCCTGAGTTTTTACCGCTGTCTTTCTCTGATAGCATCTGACGATGTGAATAAAATTTGGCTGTTGCGTTAAATGGTGACCTTAGAACTACTGAACTTTACACTTGAGTACTCAAAAGGTGTTATGTTATTATTTTAGTTGTCAACCACAGCTCGCGTGAGCCTTAGAAACTGTGAAAGGCAGAGATAGCTGTGAGATGTCTGGTATTTGCAGCTGCTAAAGCAGAGGCACAGTTTACCCTTATGTTTCTGCAGAGCTTTGGAATGGGTCAGTACCACCCAGAGCCACATTTTGTGTAACCACAGCTCCCAGTTTGTGTATTCCTGGGAGTGCCCACCCCACGACCCCAGCAACCTGCCTTACATTAGAATGCATTTGCATGCTAATTTTGTGTTTTCTGGTTTTTTTGTTTTCTTTCGTTGGTACTGGGAATCGAACTCAGGACCTTGTGCTTGCTAGGCAGGCACTTGTGCCTCTGAGCTATATCCCCAGCTGCACCCTAATTTTGATTTGCTCATTTTATGACAGTGGCCTTCCACTTCTCATGTGTATTGTTTTGTTCTGAAGCAGGCAGTGAACGGAGGGTCTTGTGAATTGTTGTCTGGCTTTCACGTATTACTTTCACAGAGGTACCGTTCTTGACGATTGAAGTACTTTCTGTACAGTCTTTGTTGTGCCTGATTAGAACTATGACATTCTGCCATGGATGGGCAGAGGAACACATTGAAAGCCTTGAAAGGAAACCAAGGTGGGGTTTTGGAAGGCATTGGCAAAGTACTAGTCAGTCAGTGTGGTCTCCCCCTCTACTGAGGACTTCCATTTAGGATGTGGGTTTAGTGAGTGTGGTTAGCAGCATTTCCGTGCCAGTGGGCTTGAAGGGACACTCAAAGTGCGGGTCGAGTGTGACGTCAGGCGTTGTCCTTGCCACATGATACTTTTAGTTTGTCGGTGCCAGCCCCTTATGGTGCTGCCGCTGATAGCTAAGGGATCCACTTGTCCTGTCTTGTAATAGTTCATTCTGCCCACTGCCCAGTGAAAGAATTGAGGGGTAATGTTCAAAATGTAGAGAGAGAAATTGCTGAAGAAAGGTACCGTGTAGAAAATGCCAAAATGATCAGTTTATTGCACATTTTTTGTATCAACAATGATTTTTTAAAAATATTTTTACTTGCCTGACTCTGTGAAACTGTGCTCAGTTTTGGCAGGCAATAGTAAATTAAAAGCTTTACAAAGAAAATTTAAAATCTAGATGCAGAGAAACACCATTGCTGAATTACTCTCCTGGGAGTAAAATGCTCTTAGAGTGCCTATTGAAATCAGCATTATCATTTCAGTACATGTCAAATATGAGTCATTGCCTAGTTGAGGCAAAAATTCTTTATAAATCTTTAAATCTTCCCCTTAGAAAAGGCTAAAGTACTTACCATTTAATGACACTGATTTATTTCATAATATTTTACTCTCCAGAGAAAACTTATCCTTTCCAATTTGTACATTTCTTTTATTTTTAATTTTTGCATAAATTTTAAACTATTCTCTATTGTGTATGTATTAAAACTGTAGACCTAAGTAATCATAAAACATTAGAAAAGCCATTTAGATCAGTTATTTACATGGGGTGATCAAAAAATACGGTGAATATCTATAACCTTTTATTACCACAAACACATTAGCATTAGTCAAAATATGCAAAATACTCTCCTTTCCTTCAAACACATTTATCCTAGCATTCTTGCCATTTTCTGAAGTAGTTTTTGAGGTCCTCTTTCACTAGTATCTTTAGGAGGTGTGATCAAAAATATGGTGAGCGCTGCTACCAACTGCCAGCCAATGGAAAGGTGAGCTCATGAAAACCTGACATCATGCCCTTGTCCACCTTATTCATCCGATCTGGCATGGTGAAACATTCAGCTCTTCTGCAGGGTCCAAATGACCATCAAATGTAAATGGTTACATTGCCTCAGGACACTGGGGCAGCCACAGCAGTGAGACGAAAGACACTCATGAAGAAGGACTCCAGAGCTGCTTCAGAAAGTGGCAAGAATGATGGGATAGGTGTGTTGGAAGAGAGAGCAGGGTATCTTGAGGGAAATCAATGGCTATGTCTCTTTTCCTGCAATACATTTTTAAAAATTTAAAAACAGTCAATTGAAGTTTTTAAATTTTAAAAATTTAGAGTTTTTTTAATCATTCCTTGTAACATCTCAGACTTACTAACTGTTACAGGGGTGCCTGACATTTGCAGGTTCTGCAGTCACCCCAAGGAAAATGAGAGAGTGCTTACTTCCTCCACATTGGAGAAATGCATAGGGCTCCCTCACAGGGGGCCCCGTGTGCATATATTTGACAGATGAAATTTGTAAGAACCCACATCAGGGATATCTAGTAAGGAATGCACTCCTTTCATACAAGTTGCCCGGAGAAGTAGTGGGAGGGGCAGACCCTCAGGAGTTGGAGAGTCTGGCCCAGGTAAGGAACAGCACTCTGCAGTCCTAAGAACCACTCTTGGTTCAGTTTTTCACTTATTTAAGGAAAGGATTTGATTCTGTAAACAAAACAAGTGAATTCCACACGAAAAGTAAGTGGAGAGTGTCAGGACGCACAAGTGATTAAGGTGGGAGAGCGGTGACCACGTCAGGGCCACAGGGGCATCAGCGCAGGAACTGAGGGCCAGGCTCCTGCTTTTTCTGCTCTGCCCTGAGGTCTCATGTTCAAACCAGCCATTTTTTAGCAGCATTTGTGGTCAGGATGCAGACAAATGCAACTTGTTCTCCTTTCATCATATAATGAAAGGACATTGGCAGAGAAAACTCTCATTTAAATTATCAGTTACTGTTGCATTGTGATAGTGACCAAACTCTGATTTTGGAATTAAGGACGTCCTGTCATGCAAGGGATAGGATGGAACTCGTGGTAATTAGTAATCTAGTATGGTCAAGCTTCTAGCTGTGAGCCTATACTTCATGTGTATGTGCATTTTCTACATATCCTCTACCTCCGCAAATCAGTGGGTTTATGTAGCATGCTTTTGTGTGTGTTTAAAAAGAAAACAGATGTACTTGTACAATCACTCAGAAATATGAATTTAACTCCAAATACCTAGATAACATAAAACTCATTGACCAATCTAACCTATGACTTACGTCAAGTAGTTCACACTTTATGAGCTTTCTATCTATAAAATTGAAATTCTAATTTCCCAAATCAGAGAAAAAGACATGATTTTTAAATAATAGAATCCCTGGGCAGAAAAGATCTTAGGAAGAACCAGGCAGACTGGATATCAGAGATCTAATTTTCTAAACAAAAAATGTCTAATATTTATCCCAAAACTGTCTAGCATTTATCCCAAAACTAGCATTTTGAAGCTGAGACCTGTTGGAAAATGATTAATTTTAAAATTGATATTCATTCAGAGAGTTGAATCGGATATGATTGCCAATTTAAATTTCACTTTGGTGTTTAACACATCGGCTCTTCAAATTATATCAAGCTGGTTTGTTGTCATATTTTCATACTAAAACTGGAAAAATAAATTCATACTTTTTATTGTCAGATGGGTAACACTGATGATACTAACAGATTTTTAAAAGCTTAGTTTTCATATTGAATCAGCACCTACTGTAGTGATTAAAAGATCTCTCTTTTTTAAGCTTTGGTATGTGTACAATAACTTCGTTTCAGCACTTTATTATGGATTGGGAGGTGAAACACCTCTTAACAAATTTAGTTAAGAGGAAAGCCTCAGAGTTTCTTGTGGAACATTGATACGTGGACAACACACGAGCCACAGGATTCTAGCTGCAGTAGTTTGAAAAAGGAGCAGCTTTGATCTGATACAATGAATGGGAAAAACAGGAGCAAATAGTTTTAGGATCGGATAGACAAAGGATGCCAGTTTCATCATCATGGTCTGTTCATCAATATGTTCTTTTGATTTATGTATTCAATCTGAACAAAGGAACACTATTGATAGTTCTGAGAGGAGCAAAATGCACTTTAAAACAACCTCTGTTAGAATAGATAAACCAAGTCTTTCAATTATTCCCTGGGTTACACGCCCATGTGCACACTTACTAAGGGTATCCCTGCGTCTCTGCTGACTGAGGTGATATAAAACATCCAGGACACAGTGCTTCCTCAACCTGCTCAGAAAGCTCAGGGTCATGGGATTTTCATAGGATCACTACCCTGACCCTTGTACCCCCTCCAAGAGCATCTCAACCGTGGAATTCCTGTAATAACTTTCATTGCTTTTTATTGTAACTGTGTGTACAAGATGTAAATATGCATGCAAGTGTGTATTCCACATTGTTTGTGCAAAACTTCTATCTCACCAGCTGAGTGTCATCTAACTTAATTGATTGGTTTTGGGTTATTCAGAACAAACTTAAAATGGACAGAATTAATGAAGTTTTTCAGAATTATCATATAGAAATTAGAGTAACTGCCATTATGGAAGACTGATTTACGTGTGCTGTGTTAAACATTTCACATGCCTACTTTTCAAATGTCAATAATAATCTTACAACTTTGACTTATATTATTCCCATTACCGAGATGAGGAAAATGAGTATTCAAGAATTTAAATTACCTGCCTAAATCGGTGGTGTTAAATTTCTCTGACCTTTAAGT